TTTTTTTTGTCTTTAATCCATAATCATCAACATTGAAACAAATAAAGGCTTGAAATATTTCACTTTGTGTGCAGTGAACTAACATACAAGTTTCACTTTTTGAAACAAATTATTGAAATAAATGGACTTTTCCTCGATATTCTAATGTTTTGGCACATACCTGTATACTATATATTGTACTCTTTTCATTGCCGCATTAGGTATGTGCTGTGTAAGCATTTTATTATTTTGCAGTTAAACACGTGTGAACCTACAGAAGATTGTGTAGCTACATGAGCTTTAGTGTTTTTTACATTTGTTTTTACATTCCATATTATTAATAGCCACATGACTTTGCCTATCGTGGTTTAGACAACACACCGCATATTCACCACAACACGCAGGATGGCGCTCGTGCACAAGTGTTGTCTCCCGCTGCCTTCAGAACTGTAAATAAATTCTATTATATTGTCAAATGAAGTCCTAAATTCCACTCTTTGCACATTCAAAGATCTTCTTCTTTTGTCGACAACACTTAAATAACAACCAGATTTTGCTACGTGCTTCATGTTAGGTTCACCTGTAGAAGTTAACATGTCCCACACTACGTGAAGGCAGCAGCTGTCACAGCTGAGTTAATCTGTTTGCTGAAGATAAAACAGATGCTTAGCCAAACAAAGGTATGAGTGAGGAAACATACACGTTATGTACATGTTGTCGTATATTTTCCAACTTATTACTTCTTACATTCTTCTTTACTTGAACATTTGTGGAAGTGATAGCCTACACATATTCCTCATGAAGGAAGTTAACTGGTGCACAAAGATTTTACAAATTTTAAGAAACTATTTTACAGTTGCTGGGTGTACTCCAAACTCCGTTAGATTTACTGCTACATGCACATACGTCTACGGAAAATAAAATCGTATTACTGATCAGGAAGTGATGAATCGTGATTTCATTGTTTTACCTCATGGCAGTTTTATTAGACTAGGCTACATAGTTGACGTCTAGAGTTAGCGTGAATAATTCACGTTAAAAGATTTTTAGGCTATTTGTTTACAAAATGTAATTATCTTTACCGTCGCAATTTACCGACAGTTTCAGCGCAAGAGAAGCACACTGATTTGACAAACAAATAAATAAAGGATGTTATCTCGTAATTATGACTTGCATGAAAAGGTCTAATAATTACGAGATTAGAATGTCACAGTTATGAGGTCTTTTCTCGTAATTTGGAGAACAGGATTTTGTAATTATGAGACAATAAGTAAAAATTAGGAGATAAGATCTTCCATTTTTCCTTTTAGTGTATCCTATGCGCTTCCGTGCAGACAGGTGTCTGGATGTAGTGCTGCATTTAAGGAACAGTTATAGGAATCAAGTACAGTTTAATGTCTTACGTAAAACTCGATATGTCTTAGCTTTAGGGTATATAATAGTGTTAGAAAACAGCTCAAACAAATGACAATCCTCCAGGAAGACATTTTTTTCACACGTTTCAAGTTGTGAACCACCTGTAGGTGGCTGTGTAGTCGCTTTTGCACAGGCCACGATGTTTTCTGAGCTGTGAATGCCGCACAAACCGCGCCTCTCTAGGCGCTGCCCTCTCAGGAGCACATCAGTAGCTGGGTGAGCTATTGGTCCAGTTGTCAGGTCGACTGCCTTCTGAGGAGGTCACTGTTCTCTTTTTTGGTTCAGGTGGATGGTTCGCGTCTCCACTGCAAGGATGTCTTCGTCCACGCCACCCCGAGTGTTCACGGAGAGGGAGGTGGCCCCCCACTGCAGCAAGGACTCCTGCTGGGTGCTGCATGGGACCAGGGTGTACGACGTGACCACATTCTTGCGAATGCACCCGGGCGGGGAGGCGCTGATACTTCGCAGGTCCGGCAAGGACGTAAGCCCGGAGTTGGAAGGACCTCCACACCGGCACTCGGAAAACGCCCGGCGGTGGCTGGAACAGTACTACATTGGGGAGCTGGACAGGGACAGCGGGAGCGATGAGGCACAGGTAACAGATTGGCCCCTAACTATAACCCCAAATCAGAAAAAACTTGGGATGGGATGTAAACTCTAAATTAAAACTGAAAATAGTGATGTGTAAATCATCTACGTTCTGTATTACATTGAAAACAATACAGCAGCACATTTTGGTGTGATACCTCATCAGTTTTATTCTTTGTTCAAAATAGACACTCACTTCAATTCTGGTGCCTGCAACACATTCCAATTAAAAAAAAAGCTGGGTTAGTAAAGCATTTACCACGGCGTGATGTTGCCGTTTCACAGTTCGTAAAAGACGTTTAGGGACTGAGGACACCAAGTGATTTTAAGTGTGTCAGGTGTCATTTTGTCCCATTCTTAAGCAAACAAATCTTAAGGTGCACAACAGTCCTAGGTCTTCCTTGACGCAATTTGCGTTTCAAAATGCGTCACGCATTCTCTACTGGGGACAGGTCGGGGCTGCAACCAGGCCCGTCCAGCACTCGCACCCCTTTCCTCCACTGCCAGGCCTTGGCAATGTGTGCAGCATGAGGTTTTGCATTGTCTTGTTGACATATGGGGTCCCTGGAAAACATGTCGACTTGAAGGCAGCACATGTTGCTCCAAAATCTCGATGTACGTTTCAGCATTAATAGTACCATCACAGAAGTGTAAGTGACCTTTGCCAAGGGCGCTGACACAACCCCAGACTACAACAGACCCTGGCTTTTGTGCTTGTTGCTGGCAACAGTCTGGATGGTCCTTTTCGTCTTTGGTCCGGGGCACACAGTGTCCACTACTTCCAAAAAAGACCTGAAATATGGATTCATGTGATGGTCCATCCCAGATGCCTCGAGGCCCAGAGCAGTCAACTGTGCTTCTGGACACTGACATAGGGCTTCCCTTTGGCACAATACAGTTTTAAGAGGCATTTAATAATGTAACTACGTATTGTAGTGCCTGACACAGGTGTGCCAAAGTAATCCTGAGCCCATGCGGTATTATCGCCTTTAGAAAAGTGACAGTTCTTGATGCAGTGCCATCTGAGTGATTGGAGAGCACAGTCATCCAGTTTAGGCTTGGGCTCTTGTCCTTTACACACTGTTTATTTTTAATAAAGAATAATAATAATATTGATGAGATATCAGATTAAATAATGTGCTGCTGTATTGTTTTCAATGTAATACCCAATACAGATGATTTACAAATCACTAGTTTCAGTTTTAATTTTGGTTTTTCTGATTTGGGGTTGTAGCTAGGCTGGCATCACTGACAACACTTCAAGAGAAACACTGGAGGGTAATAAAACCTGTTAGGTTTTCATTGAAGGTTTGTTAAGGTGTAGGCTACCTTACAGACAGATGGTTTCGAAAAAGAATAAATAAACAAACAAAATAAACTGCACAGAATAGTTCATTGTCATTGTTGGAATCTTTCTTCTGCTTTAGTAGCTTTCCCTCAGGTCCCAGGAGCATAGAAACAATGGACTCCCAGCGAGGCTGTGACTCCTTTGGGACAGCAGTTGGGTTTCCATTGTGTACACAAACAAAATTTGACATAATTTGATAAGCAATGGCATTAGTCTGCCACAATAAGTCTGCTACCAAAACAGTCAAACCAGTGGACCCAGTGGAGTTAAAGGTTCTTCACACTGAGCCAATATCTCATCAGTCATCATGACATGTCAGGTTTGGATGTGTTTTTCACTAGTATCAGACAGTGACCTTACCAAAGGTTTAGTGGTTCTATGGCAATGGAAAGCCAGTAGGGACCTGGTGGCTCTGTGATTAACAGTTGTATGTAACTGTCTCTCGCTTGTCTTTACTGGGAATTTTCTGTGAGGAACTTCCTGCACCGCTCTCCTTCCCCTGGGCTCTAGGGAGGCAGTGAGGTGGAAGAAAGACGCAGAGGGAGGGATATGACTCAGTGCTTATGTATTTTATATGCAGAAAGGACCAGAGTCTGGGAAAGGCATGCAGGTGATATGGTAGACCTTTGGGGTAGGCTGGGTGTGGGGGACCAGTTAATGAATGATTCAGGATGTGTGAGTCAGAGCTAGAGAGGCAGAAAAAAGGAAAACTGGTTTGTCTTGTCCCATCAGGCATGGAGAGGACTACAAACATGGGGTTTGATGGAAACTTCAGTTGTTTTCAGATGAGTCCACACCCAGTTTCACTGGGTGAGAGGAGAAATCTCTTGCTCAGCATTGTTGACATTTACATTATTTGCGCACTCTCACCTATGTGTGTTTTGTCGTGTGTGTGTGTTTTTTTTTTTTGTTTTTTTTTTTACTGTACATCTTTGCATGCAGAGGTGTACAGTTTACAGTTTACACTTCACTTCTTGAGCATTTCTGGAGCTTCAGTCACTTTTCTTGTCTGTCAGCTATTGGATTTAAAGGTAGCACTGTGTGCTTTTTTATGGGCTGGATGGAGGAGGTGTGTGTGTTAATGTTGTAGTTTGACAGTGTAGCCTACACACACTTGTTCAAGATGTTAGTGTTTTTTCTTTTTTTAGCTGCCATCTGGAGGTACATGACACACAACACAGCTGCATTAGCAGGAGGGACCTCCACAAGTGGAAACGTCTTAAGAAAAAGGGCACTTAAGATCATAGGCTGCAGTTGGTGCAAAATGCCGCCGCCCAGCTGCTCACTGACACCCGTCGATATGCTCACATTACCCCAATCTTAGCGTCCCTTCACTGGCTACCTATGAAATGGAGAGTGCAATTTAAGATTGTGCTATATGGTTTTAAAGCCTTGCATGGCCTTGCCCCTGAATATCTATCAGATCTTCTATCTAGATATCTTCCTCTGAGATCATTATGGTCGTCCGCCCACCTCACCCTTGTGGTGCCTTCTTCCCGTTATAAAAAATGGGGAGGTCGGGCCTTTGCCGTGTACGGCCCGGTATTGTGGAACGCTCTGCCATTAGATTTACGCTCTATAACTGAACTAGTCCCGTTTAAATCAGCACTGAAAACATATTTTTTTAAACAAGCTTTTTATGCTTAATCTCTTTAGACTCCTCTTGGCTTTCTATTTTATTGTAGCTTTATTCTAGCTTTTCTGAGGGGTGTCAGCCTGGACAGGAATTATGCTATAGATCGATGAATGTTTATGCCTGTCATATGTCTACCTAGTTGATTTTTATTCTGATATTGATATTTTGATGATTTTGGTTTTAATTTTTTGATGTAGCACCTAGTGCTCTTGGAGCAGGTAGGTGCTTTATAAATAAATTTTATTATTATTATCATCAACTTGTCCACTGCAAAAGACAAATTTAATGCCATTTTATTTCTTTTTATTTCAACTAAACAAAAGAGTCTTCTTCCTGTGGGAATCCATGTCCGATCACCCCCCTTATCTGATTAGTCATTAGACCTTTGCTGGATGATGTCACCGTCCTGTGCAGTGTGGTGAGGGCCAAAATAACATAAAAGGTCAAACACATTTTCAGTTAGAAGTTAGAAGCTCATGGATGGGTCATGCACAGTTATTAGGTCTGAAGAGTCTCATGTGAAATCATATAAGAGAGAAGCCAGTCAGCTGAATTTCTGGCAAAACCTTCTACACTACTTGCATATTGTCTTTTACTGTATATGATAATTCATAATCCGAAAGTAGAACTGAAGTGGCATTCATTACAAATTAATCAGTTAAAATGCACCTGCATTGTTGTGCATTTTGTGAATTTCAGTCAAATAAAAGACTATTTTTCAGGTTGCATATTTTGTCATTGTCAATTTCTTAAAAATTGCGTTATAATATCGTCTTGTCTCATTCTCATGAACCTAATAACATGTATCGTTTCTTCTTGTGAGCTAAGTGTACCATCACACCCCTAGTAATTAATGTCACTAGGGGTGTGTAATGGTTTTTGCTGATGTTGAAGTGCACTGGGGGATGTATTTATAGTGTTGTTTGCCCTAATTATATCAACATGGGTTGTCAAGAAACAACATACGGTAATTTAATTCTCACGCCTCTTAAATGTTTCTAAAAACTGAACACCCACAGACTGTGTTCACCCCAGTAATTGTCATCTAAATAAGCTTTTGCTTTAAAGCATAAATCTCATGTATTTATACATACATGGGCTACATGATCATATCTGTGTTTGATAACTGATCATTTTATTTCAATGAAAACATGGTTACACATGCTGTATCTGTGTTAATGTTCTGCTGTGGAGATGGTATTTTCTTCTGGGTTTAGGTCTTAAAAAGTCTTAAATTTGACTTTAAAAAGTGTGCAGCAACCCCATGAAAGATGATAAATAATAGTCATACTGAGGATCTTGTGTGTCCAGCTCCTGGGTGTGAATGGCGGTCATGAGCCGTCTCCTGGTAGGCTAGTGGTTAAGGCGCAGCGCTCTCGCCACTGCAGCCTGGGTTCGAGTCAGGCTGTGTAAAACACATGCTAAATGTCAACATGCGAGAGCCATCAGTGTGATGACTCGCTGTGGTGACCCCTCAGCGGGAAAAGCCGAAAGTGTCTTTCTTATGAGACTGATTTCAGGCAACTGACTTAGTCATAAGTTGGTAATGAAATATTCCCTCTAGGTTTGACTGGAGAACAAATAATGGCCACTTTCACTTCTCATTCAGGCACATTTGTGTCACTGCAAATGTCAAACCTAACCCGCATTTTGTTCTTTAATCATTGACCTAAATGGCACAGGGAGCCAAATACCATTGCAGTAACGGGATGTAAAAACTTTCAGTCAAACTTTGTGACTTTGATTGTGCTTAGATTGTATTCAAAAGAGAGGTCGATTGCAGAGGAAGTGTTAAACAGTGTGGAGCATTGCCTTTTGCTGTTTGGTTTGATGGTCTGAGAGTGTAGTATTGAGAATTAAATAGTAATTCTTTTGTTTCCTCATCTTATCATCATTGAGCAGCTGCAGGCACGGTGCACTTGGAATATCATCAGACACATTTTGGGCTTAACATTCACATCTCCGCTTTCTGGCAGTTCAGCTTTTTGCATTTGTGTTGAATTTAGTGATTTATTGTATGGGT